CCTCCCCCCCCCCCCCCCTTTTTTTTTTTTAATACAGAGGAGTTATGTACGTCTAAGAAATTTAGCCCTGATAAAATTTATGTAAATCTTGTTTTTTTAAAAACTTTTTAGAGATCTAGTACATATTCTCAAATATCTGACATGTTTTCATAAAATTCATTGTTCGCGTAATTGATTTCTTTCATCATGTACCATCCTTTCGATATCCATCTCTTCAAAAATCCTTTAGACCCATGTTTCCCATCCGTGAAAGCCTTCGTATAGTGTGTAGATTAAGAATATACGTCTTGATACTTTTTTGTTCGATTTTTCTCTTTGAAACTACAGAATATATACTTGCCAAAAAAAAAAAAAAAACAGAAAACTGCCTTGGCAACGAATTTTGATTCTGATATATCTTTTCGCTCTTGATACTTGGTTTAAAATCAGATTCTCACTGAGTATATATAAAAAAAAAACCCTAGTTAGTACTAGAAACAAAGTAATTTTAAGATACCAAAATGCTACATTATTTACAACTGAATTTCCAAGAAGCTTGAATTAATGAATTTATTGAATTTAACTATGAAGATAAAGTTCCTATTTCTATATATCTTTTTTTAGGACAACCTTTCAGCTCTATACTAATAAAAGTAGACTTGGACATTATGGTTTTCAGGTCAGTTAGATATGGTTCTTTCTAGTTTTGGGTAGTTCGGATACAGAGCTTTACACCTTTGCAAAACTTTACAAACGTCAAACTTCAACAACAACAAAATGAAAAGGTAATATTTTAGTTTAGATAAACTTTTTTACAATACCACTCTCCTATAAAAGATGTTGTTACCAATTCTATTTTCGAAGCTTGGAGCATCTAGTTCACCCAATCTTCTTCTGAAGATGTTGTTCCTTCATGAGACATGCCAGAAGGAACCTTTTGTCAGTTGTCACCTCGTCGCTTTTCATAAGCCAAACCTTCCAAAAAATTAACTATTTGTTTTTACTACCATAGAACCAACTCAAAAAATACT